ATCAGGAACATTGTTGCAATGGCTGAGGGAAGTGAGCCTCTAAGGGTCTTCCCAAGGAATATTAAATGCTACAATTCAGAAACCCTGTCACCTTCACTCAAAATTCATTGACCTGAACTAGTCATAAGTGCCCTGCTTTGCTACAGCACCACTCACAAAAGGTCCAGAAACTGCCTGGGTGGTGGAAAGCAAGAAATATTTGGCAAATGGTGCTAATAGCATATTTCATTTCCACGTTTCTGAGCTTTGGTGATCTCAGTAACAAAATGCAATTACATCAGTAACCTTTCCTACAATATATATTAAAATATACAGTTTTCCTCATAAAAGCTCTATATGAGAATGGTGCATAGTGAAATTAATACTTGAATAAAGTCAAATAGAAAAGCCAAAGATGGAACTGGAAAGATAATTCAGATCTCTATATCACTGGTACTGGATGAGGCTCATTTATTCCATATTTGTGGATGTAAATTACATGGGAAAAAGCAACAATGATATTGTAAAATAAAATGATTGCTTTAAGTTTTAATTGGGTTCAAGGACAAGATTAAAAAATTCTTTATGTCAGTGTTTTGGCAGTTATTTTAGTGACCCAGTGAAGGGACATCTGGTGCTAGCAATTCTGGATAGAAGAGCTGGCTGTGGAAAATACATTTTTTTTTGTATTGCAAGTCCATGTTTTAGGCATGAGGCCAAAAGTAGCATCTAGATACTTACCTGGAAAATTGCTGATTCTAATGTAGAAGAAAAAATGGTATGGTTCCCTCTACCTTACTAGGTTCTGTGCCTGAGGCCCTGGACATTCAACTGACAAAAGATAAACTAACAAGATAAATAAAAAACAGTTTTAATTAAGTATGTGTAGAAGTTTCACAAAAAAATAAAACTCTAGAAGACCAAATGATTGAGGTTTATATACTACCTTAGTTTAAACAAAGGAAAAATGATTTGGGGTTTCTGGGTGGCGGGAAGCAAGTTATGGGAAGGTGAGGAGAGGAAATGCGTGGTAAGTAAGGGTGGTCTTGTTATGCAGATAAGAGAGTCATGTGTGCGCTCTTGGAGGAGCTCTCTTCCCTTCTCCGTACTTCCTGGAGACACCATTAAAAAATGGAAATTTCCTTTATAAATACAATTTCCTTTACAAAAAGGGAAATTTATACTCTTTTTAGGCAGAGGGAAGTAAAGAGCTTTTCCTGCATCTCCTGGTTTTTAATTAATGTTCGCTCAAAATAATCCATATGCCAAAGAGACACAGTATATTCAAAAAGGGTGGTATATTCTGATACACTTCACTGAGTATATAAAAATATCGACTTCTAATTTTTTGACAATAAAAATGTGATTATTCAGTAGTGAATAACAATAAAAGTATCAATTCATTATTATAACAGTATTTGCCTCCCAGGAGCATTAGTGACTGATCAGAAAAATGGTTAGTGCTTATTAAATAAGGAGGCCATCAGACTGAGGTGGCTTTAATGCCTTAGTAGCTCACTTAAGCAAACTAAACCTAAGTCTGTATTGCCTCAAGGTTCAAAAACAAAAACATAAGGGCAACCAGTCACAAACAGCCAACTACACTTTTCCAAATAAGGTAACTGATTAAGCTGCAACCAATCAAAAAGCTTATTTTCTTTCTCATCTGCTCTATAAAATCTTGCCTTGGCTTCTGTCAGTGGAGTACTGCTAACCACTTCTCGTTTGGTGCTGCACAATTCCAATCCATGTTTGCTCAAATAAACTCCTAAAATGTTCAATGTTCCTCAGTTTATCTTTTAACAGTTCCATTCTGATGATTCATTAGCCTAAATCTCAAATGGCTAACTCAAAACTCCTAATCCTCACTTTATAATTTATAAGCCCCCATGCCACCCACCTACCAAACTGGCCTTATGACCTTAGGTATAACTTCGTAATAGTCACTACTATTAAATAGTTCAACTCTTCAAACTACAAAGTAAAATTTTTAAAAGCTCAACTTAATTAAGGTACAGAGTGTTGTGACCACTTGATTTCTTTTGGACATTATGCAGTGATCCATTATGTTGAGTACATGTACATTTGTACTACATTTGGCCATGTTTCATAGATTCAAAAAGCAGAGGTATATAATTCAAAAGTGCTGGCTTTATTTAAAACCACTGGTGGTAGGATATGGAATGGTTTTCAGATATAATTTCAGATATAAATCCTCAACATATTCTTCAGGACAGCCTAAATGACCTTGTTTATCAAATGACTGTGGATTATAGTCTATTGTAGTAAAAGGATGTAGCAGACTCATGATGCTCTCAATGCTGGGCATGGAGTTTGTAAGTACTTTAAAAGAAAGTTAAAATGCCAAACATAACTCAAAATGTTTTAGACTTCCAAGCTTAAAATTTTCCATGTCAATAGTTCCTTGTTGATGCCAAAACTTTTCACATCTGTGAGGGCAAAGTCCTGTATTATCTGGTCCAAATGTTTGAGATATTGCGATACATGGTGGTACATTATTGATGAACAGATTAAAGATTAACTTAAATATATGTAAAACTCAGCCAACAAAATTCTTCATCAAAAGAGAAGTCCATCAACCAAAGACATGTACTAGAATGTTCATAGTAGCATTATCTGCAATAGCTCCAAACTGAAAACTACCCTAACATCCATCAGAAGAATGGATTCATAAATTGTGGTATATTCACAGAATGAATAAAATGAATGGTCTACAACTACATGTAACAATAAAAGAGATTCACAAGTACAATGTTGAGTAAAGAAGCCAGCCATAAAAGATGTGTTCTTTATGATCCTATATATATCAAGTACAAAGATAGGCAAAACTCATTTATGTTGTTAAAAGTCAGGATAGTCTATGATTGGAAGACAGTATGATGGGGTCTGTGGGCGTTGTTAATAATGTTGTTTCTTGATCTGGAACACAGGTGTGTTCTGATTGTGAAAATTCATTGGGCTACATATACTTGGGATATATGCACCCTTCTGTATATATATTATGCTTCAATAAAAGATTTTAAAAAATTCTAGGGAACACATGAAAATTAAATTTCAACCCAATTTAATAATCCTCAGTGACATTACTAGAATTTGTGAGCCATAAAGGTGAGAACCACTCCCTAAACAAAGTATTCAATGAAGTGCACTGGTAACAGTTTTCCCAGGACAGGATACCTAATATGTCAAAATAAGCTAGTAATTTACCTATAAAATCTCCAATCTTTCTCCCTTTCTCCATCTCCAGTGGTATCACCTTAGTTTAAACCAATCTACCATCTTAAATCTCATCTGATATAATTTCTTAACCAATCTCCCAGTAGCTGATTCTACCTATTTTCTACAATTAACCAAAGTGATTTAAGTCTAAGACAGATCCTTTTATCCATTGCTTAAAATGCCTCAATAGAGTCTCATTAAATGTAAAGTGTAACTCCAAGCCTTGGCTACCTGGTCAGGCCTCTGTCTACCTCATCCACCTCACGTCATCCTGCTCTGCCCCTCCCTCTGTACTAGAGGCACACTGGCCTTCTTTCTCTAATTCCAAAATGTCAATCTATCTCATCTCTGGAGCTTTGTTCTGCTGTCTCCTCTGCACAAAACAATCATCACTTTCCTGGTTCCTGGGCTGACTGACTCTCTTCGAGTATCTGTTTAAATTTGATGATGTCTCATATAACAATCCTCCCTCTCTAACCTCAGCCTCCTATTGTTCTCTATAAGCACCTTGTCTATTTCCTTTCTTGACATGACTTGGTATTTTATTTGCTTGTTTACCTGTTTGTTTTCTCCCTCTTCCTCCTCATTCTCCTGTAAACTCAATGAAGGCAGCTATCATTTCAGTTTGTTGTCAGGATTGTATATCCAGAGCCTAGCACAGTGCCTGGTATACAAAAGGTCGTCCATAAACACAGAAGTACTGGCCGAATGAATGAATCCACATTCCCAAGGGCTCCCACGAAAACTGTTCAGTCACGAAGAACACTGCACTGCGAGTTTGTCAAAGAATAGCAATGAAATCAGATGCCCTTCAAGCCCCTTTGTCCGAAGTGTTGGCTTTCCATTTTCAGTTTCCTAGTTGTCTCAACTATCACCGCTGGGCTCCAAAGGACACACCCCTCTCGACCCGCTGGCGAAGTACCAAGCCCGCCGACCCCACCCACCGCCGTAACTTCCCCTCATTGGCCAGCGCGCCAATGCCTTCAGGAAGGCGGGACGTCACTGCGAGCCACTACTGGTCCAAGTCGACGTCGCTCTACGGTACGCTTCTTAAAGTCAGGCAAACCAAACTGCAGTCGCGGGGAGGCTCGTTCTTGTTGGAATCTGTGATTGGTCGCGGTGCGCCGCTTCGCTGAGCACGGATTGGTCGGAGCTGCCGTCAGTCCAATGGAACTGGCTTTTCTCTCCGGCTGCCGCGCTGCGGGCGAAAAATTCTCAAGAATTTCCAGCGGGCGGGCCAGTGGCTGTTCTCACTACTTGCTTCAGCATTTAGAAACACCGGAGGAGGCAATCTTATTTACCGACCGAGAAAGCCCCTGTCTCACCCTTCGTTAGCTAATTAAAACATTTCCAGGGACGTAACTATTACCAGGTAAGAGTCTAGAGAGTGCACTTCATTTATTTCTGTTAACTGTTAATATAATTAATAGGCTGAGTCACATCCCTCTGAGCCTCGGTCCTCGGAATAGAGAGTAAACGAAGGGTTCGTCAGGGAGGGAGGCGTATGTACATTTATTTCCCCAGCTCCTTCCGAGCCCCACGGTCAGTGTCAGGGTTCTCCGTGCACTGCTTTCTTCTCTGGCGCGGCGGGCTTCGGCGCTCGGCCTTAAACTTGGTCGCGGGCTGCAGGCGCCTGCCCAGCAGTAGCGTGGGCCGGGGTTGGAAGGAGGGAGGGACCACGGATGGGGGGCAGGGGCCGCGCTGCCTGCTGGTGTTTGCCCTTGGCGAGGCCTGGCGTCGCCCTCCCGGAAACCCGGAACGCGAGGGTGCTGCTGGAGTCGGCGCTGGGTCGGCGCGGCAGCTGTGTCCGGAGTGAAGGAAACGTGGCGACACCCGGGATCTGTAAACGGAGAGGGTGGTTGAGAGGCGGAGACCCGGCGGCGGAAGGTGCCGGGGGGAACCAAGCCATCTGCAGTGTCGTGCGCTGCGCAGTCTGGAGCGTGCCCTTCCTGCCCCATGTCTCCCTGGCCTCTCATCTGTCACGGCTCTAGGGAGCCGAGGCCAGGATCCTGACCCGTCCGTAGGTGAACTTTTCAGGGGATCAGAACAGAGAAGGATGAAGAGACCTGTTTGGTGTTGATCTGAGGACGTGGGTTTTGCTTTCTCGAGGCCTTGTGGCTGGTAATATCTTTTGTTTTTTTTTAGCAGCCGCTGCTTTCTATAGATTTCACAGGAGGTGGTGGTAAGGATGAGACACCGGGTGAAAATAGCCACGGAATTTGGAGGGTTTAAAGTTCCACTGGGTTTTTTGAGCTTCAGGCTGGAAATGTACTGCAAGGCCTTTTCAGTGTTTTGCACCTGTACCTGTGCAAAGGAAGGACTGAAGTTATCGGGTGGGTTCAGAAGGAGCGATTAAAGTGACAGGTAATGGCCTGAAAAATAGCAGTGGTGTTGTGGTATTCTAGAAAAACAACAGATGTATCACTGTGTAATAAAATGTCTTAGTTATCATTTTGAGAAGTGAGTTCTCCCCGATTTTCTTTTCTTGCAACCTTAGTCACCTTCCATTGACCGCCAACATAGGCACCTCCCTTGAGTGGAATCTTAGAAAAGAGGAAAGAAAAGGGGAGAGGCGCTGTGGATGTAGTACTGAATGTAAAGGAAAATTCTTCTCACATGCAATATAAAGGTATAGGTTTGGAATATGGTCTGTGAGTTGTATCCACGTTAACTAAAATGTTTCAGAAGATCTGTGGAATTACAATAATGAATGCTTATCACTGCTAGTATGTTCTTTTTCTATTCACACCTAAACATATGTTCACAGCAAACCTAAGAGGAGTCCTTTAGGGTGTGTTTTGTTTCCCTCCTGTGGACTAGTGCAGGTTGTTTCCCATCCTCCTAGCAGGGTACTGAAAAAGAAGGTACTAGAGTCCAAACTTCCTGAAATAGAGTCTGGAGATTTCCATACCATTTGAATTTATGGGGATGTATTTGTTTTTTTCTTAAAAAGTTGATAAACATTTGGTTTAAGAATATCCATTGTGGAAGTTACTGATGTAAAGGTACTCAATTGCCACTTGATAATGGGTAGTTATGAATACTTCCTTTTAAATATTTTTGCTGGAAGGATAAATCTAGGCAGGTGTCAGTAGTACTGATCCTTAGAACTCCTGAACAATTTTGGCATGTGCTAAAAACGGTAACAAAAAAATGCCCTTTTCACTGCTTTCAACAGTGAAAAGCTGTTTAACTCAAATCCCAAGCTCACTCTCCTGCCAGAGACAATGAGTGCCTCCCTATTCCAAAAATAAATTTCGACACCTCTGAGGTGTTTAAACCATTGAGGGATTATAAAATAGGAGTCAGAGGAAAAATTGGCATAGCAATCATGTAAGCTGTATATGAGGCTTTTCTTCACCTGCCTCCCCTTTTACTTTTAAATAAAGTGTATACTTCAAAAGTTTGCTACAAGCCAAATGCATTTTGTTTCCTTCCCGATGCTTTGCACCTGTGCTTTCCTAGTCTCAGGATGTGGGTTTTTACCACTGCTCTCATGTAGAATCTCTATACCTACTCTTGCTGTCTCACAACTTCCTTTTAACCCTCTTTGCTGCGAATTCCCCCTGCTAGTCCGAATTGTTAAGAGTCACCTTTGTTCACTAGTCAGAGTTCTATGTCAGGGATAGATTAATGAATTAAAGCATTGAGGAAGAGGGAGATGAATTGTTAGACGAATCGGTGTGAAAATGATGAAAAAATAAAAGTATTTTTCAGGTGTTCATTGACAATATGTAGAATACATAGGATTTTTTTTGCATGTATATATGTATGTATATACATGTGGACACTCACACAGTTTTAAAAATTCATGTGATTAAAGGAACTTTGTGAGCCATACATTTTAATTTTGATTGGGAAGTAAAAAGGAATTTGGAAGACAGTTTGTATAGGTGGAAATGTCCATATTTTTTCCTTATGGGAATATGACTATCAGTGTAGTCCAGGTTGCTTATATAAATAATTTGTTATGTAGCTAGGATTCCAGTCATTTATCTTTATTTTTTTGCTTAACATAGTTTAAAATGTTTATTTTTATTAGTAGAATATGTGTGCCATGATGATTTCTTGTGTGTGCTCTTAGTTAATTTAACTTTTGCTCTGACATTTTTGTGTCTTCAAACTGCCCTTTGACTCTTTTGGATGACTTTGACTTTCAGAGGTTGAATATAAATGTTAAAGTGGTTTATAAACATAAACTTGCCTTGATTTCTGATTGAGAGACTGACATAAAGGATTCCTGAATAACTGTTTTTTAGTTTGCAGAATAATAAACATGCCAATTTATAACTGCTGAACTGGCAAATAGTAAAAATATTTTTTAAGTGTTTGTCAGTTGATTCGTCACTCTTTTTTGCTATATACAAACAGTGCTTTTCTTTTCTTTGAAGGCTCTAGTATTTTTTTCATATCACAAATTTTATTCTCTCTTGCCTGCTAGGCAGCATATAGTCATCTCCTTGGGTATCTGGTGAACTGTGGGGCCTATGATGGCTGATTTCTGGTTTGAAGTTCTGGAGGACACTCTTCTTGAAGTACAGGTTTAATTCAAAGTTATTATTTAGCTTGGGAGCCCAGTTCCTCTTTGAATTGTTTCTTTGGAAATATGAAAGAGATTAGTATGATTTAATTATGTTGCATATGGAAAAGGAAATGGAACCACTTTTAGGCAAAGTCTCCTGCTTGCATAAGTGATGCTGACCTAGTTTTGTAAAGTAGCTATATATCCAGCTCATGCTCATCTCTGCCAAGGGTATGCTTTACAGTAAATGTTTTCCTATGGTTTTCCTCTTCTGCTTACTTTCTGAGATGATTGTGCAGATAATAAGTGAAGAAGGAGGCCAGGATGGTGTTTGATTGTAGTCTTTGTAGGCTTAAAGAAACTGCCCAACTTGCATTTTATTTCATTCTTAACTAATGTTTCCAGGGGATGTTTGTTCCTTGCTAAGAATGTAGCTCTGTTTTATTTATTTTATTTTTTTATTTTTGGAGAATAGAAGGGGGAGAGTGAGAGGAGGATGAGGGTCCTAAGAGAGCTGCAGAAAAACTATTAAATATTTATTTGTTTGTAATTCTAGAACTCTTGTTCAAAGCAGGTACATGACAAGGAAATGGACCAAAGCTAAAGATTGCATACAGGCATCTCCTGGAGATCCTGCAGTTTGGTTCCAGACTATTGCAATCATGATAAAGGGAGCCAAATGAATTTTTTGGTTTCCCAGTGCATATAAAAGTGATGTTTCCACTATACCGTAGTCTGTTAAGTGTATAATAGTACTCTTTATAAAAATACAATATGCATACCTTAATTAAAAAATACTTTATTGCTAAAAATGCTGTCATCTGAGCTCTCTGCAAGTTGTAATCACTAATCACAGATCACCATAACAAATATAATCACAGAGAAAAAGTTTGAAATCTTGTGAGAATTACCAAAATGTGACACAGATAAGAAGTGAGCAAATGCTGTTGGAAAAATGGTACCAATAGACTTGTTGGGCTCAGGGTTGCCACAAACCTTCAAGCCGTAAAAACCTCAATGTCTGAAGGCAATGAAGCGGGGTATGCCTGTACATGCCTGAAGCCAAAGGTAGTACTTTGCTTACACAAATTATCAAATCATTATGTTGTACTGAAACTAATATAGTGTTGTATGTCAATTATGTATTTCAGTAAAAAAAGAATAGTACTTTGCTAATTTCTGGTGCACTCTTCAAATATGAGTGTTTCTAGTAAGCATTTTAAAAGTTTTATTTTTTCTATATGTATAAAGCTGCCGTGTGAATCATCTAATAATTAGTAGTTTCCTTACTTGCTAGATCATATTATAGTTTGAAATTCCTCCACAAGTCATCACCTTTATTTGACTTAGTTATTGTTACTGAGTAAAACATAACCATCAATCAGAAACAAAGGAATAAACCTCTTTTTGTAGTGCAGTGTATTGCTTTTCTTTGATACTTGATAACCAGAGATGCTAATATCTTCACCACTCCCAATAGTATCACAGAAATGAGTTTCAATCTTTTTTTCTTTTTACTTTTTTTATTATTATTAAAGTATCACGGTTATACAATCTTATGAAGGTTTCACATGAGCAACTTTGTGGATACAATATTCACCCATATTATCAAGCCCAGTTCCCCCCACCCCACTCCATTGCAATCACTGTACATTGGCATAGTAAGATGCTATAAGTCATTACTTGTCTTCTCTGTGCTATCCTGCTGTCCCCGTGATCCACCTACATTATGTGTGCTAATCATAATGCCCCTTAATCCCCTTCTCCCTCCCTCCCCACCCACCCTTCCCACCTCCTTCCCTTTGGTAACCTCTAGTCCCTCCTTGGAGTCTCTAAGTCCCCTGTTGTTTTGTTACTTCAGTTTTGATTTGATGTTATACTCCGCAAATGAGTGAAATCATTTGGTACTTGTCTTTCCTCTCCTGGCTTATTTCACTGAGTGTAATACCCTCTAGCTCCATCCATGTTGTTGCAAATGGTAGGATCTTTTTTATTCTTATGGCTGAATAATATTCCATTGTGTATATACCACATATTCTTTATCCATTCGTCTACCGATGGACACTTAGGTTGCTTCCATATCTTGGCTATTGTGACGAGTGCTCCAATAAACATAGGGGTGCATATGTCTTTAGAATCTGGGATCTTGTTTTCGCTGGGTAAATTCCTGGAAGTGGTATTACTGGGTCAAATGATATTTCTACTTTTAGTTTTTTGAGGAACCTCCGTATTGCTTTCAACAATGGTTGAACTAATTTACATTCCCACCAGCAGTGTAGGAGTGTACCTCTTTCTCCTCATCCTCACCAGCATTTGTTGTTCCTAGTCTTTTCGATGTTGGCCATCCTAACTGGTGTGAGGTGGTATTTCATTGTGGTTTTAATTTGCATTTCCCTGATAATTCACAATGTGGAGCATCTTTTCATGAGCCTGTTGGCCATCTGAACTTCTTTGGAGAAGTGTCTGTTCAGAACCTCTGCCCATTTTTTTTTCTATCATTAATGTACTATTACATGAACAACATTATGGTTACTAGACTCCCTTATTATCAAGTCCCCACCACATACCCCATTACAGTCACTGTCCAACAGCGTAGTAAGATACTATAGAATCACTACTTGTCTTCTCTGTGTTATACTGCCCTACGTTATACGTGCTAATCTTAATGACCCTTTTCCCCCCTTATCCCTCCCTTCCCACCCATCTTCCCCAGTCCCTTTCCCTTTGGTAAATGATAGTCCATTCTTGGGTTCTGTGAGTCTGCTGCTGTTTTGTTCCTTCAGTTTATTCTTTGTTCTTATACTCCACAGATGAGTGAAATCATCTGATACTTGTCTTTCTCCACCGGGCTTATTTCACTGAGCATAATACCCTCTAGCTCCATCCACATTGTTGCAAATGGTAGGATTTGTTTTCTTCTTATGCCTCTGTCCATTTTTTAATCGGGTTATTTGATTTTTGGGCATTGAGGCATGTGAGCTATTTTGGATGTTAACCCCTTGTCGGATATGTCATTTACGAATATATTCTCCCATACTGTAGGATGCCTTTTTGTTCTGCTGATGGTGTCCTTTGCTGTACAGAAGCTTTTTAGTTTGATGTAGTCCCATTTGTTCATTTTTGCTTTTGTTTCCCTTGCCCAAGGTGATGGGTTCAGGAAAAAGTTGCTCATGTTTCTTTTCAAGAGATTTTTGCTTATGTTTTTTTCTAAGAGTTTTATGGTTTCATGTCTTACATTCAGGTGTTTGATCCATTTCACATTTACTTTTGTGTGTTGGGCAGTAATCCAGTTTCATTGTATTACATGTAGCTTTCCAGTGTTGCCAACACCAGTTGCTGAAGAGACTGTTATTTACCCATTGTATATCCATGGCCCCTTTATCGTATATTAATTGGCCATGTATGTGTGGGTTTTTATCTGGGCTCTCGATTCTGTTCCATTGATTTATGGGTCTATTCTTATGCCAGTACCAGGGCTTTGTAGTAGAGCTTGAAGTTGGGGAGCATGATCCTCCAGCTTTATTCTTCCTTCCTAGGAGTCCTTTCACTATTCAAGGTCCTCTGTGGTTTCATGTGAATTTTAGAGCTGTTTGTTCTAGTTCATTGAAGAATGCTGTTGGTATTTTGATAGGGATTGTATTGAATCTGTAGATTGCTTTGAGTTTCAGTCTTTTATACATGATGTTAACTAAAAGACCAGAAAGGAATTGACTTCTAAGTCTTTTGGGATACATTAATTATTTGGGAGGCCATGTTTATTCTAAATTCTTTATGGAAGTTGGGCTCATAAATTACTGTTTAGATACCTAAAAGTGTTCTTTGGAACCTCGTTTGATCCTTCCATTTTACTCGTTGAAAGGAGTAATGGCCCTTCTTACACATTGCTAGACTGATGTAGAAAAATTTAATTGAAAATGATTGAAATCTGTAATGCATTTTCTTATGGATACACTCAAGCTGGGCAGCTTTTGTGCTTATGTTTGTGCCTTTTAGGGAAATATATTTCCTCAAGTTCATTTTTCATTGTGAAATAATTCACATATGCAATTGAGAATAATACAATACCTGTAAACCTTTTAACCAGCTTTATCAAATCTTAATACTATGCTATCTTTTCAAGTTGGCTTTTAATTCTTAAAGTAACAGAACAAAGCACTATGGAAATGAATTTCTGATTGGAACCTTTTGTTTGGAAAACTGCCAGAAACACACCCTTTCCTGATGAGTGTAGGAATTCCCCTGGACAACATGCAGAGGAGGCTCTTAGGATTGAGTTCAGAAGTTGAGTACAGAGTAATAGTTTCAAAGAAGTGTAGTCTAGTTCTTTGGGGCTGTCTCCTGCTGGAGTTGCCCTCAGTGAGTGTCAGGAGTGGCCTGCTGGATTAGTGGGAGAGGAGAGCTGCAGCTGTTAATATAAATGCATATGTCAGTTGCTCCTAAGTCAGGGCTGCTTGTCACAGATGTACTGTCACCCAATTTCTGAGATGACACACATCAGAACTGGCTTATCCTTGTGCCTGTGGGTTGTTGGCATGAACAAGTTTACATTGACTGTAGTAATATAGTATGTAAAGTTTAGTAAGTTGAGAAATCTTAAAGCAGAACTTAGATCCTAGGTTGTCTTTGCTAAATCTTGGGGACTCTGAGTACAGAACTATCATAAATATTTGATGAAACAATTATTTTTTCTTATTTCTAGCTTTCATTAGAGACTTTTTGTTAGTACTTGCCCCTCCCTTTTCTTCAGAGCAATGGAGTTAATGAAGGGAAGAATATTTATTTACACCTGTATTCTGTGTTCTTGCTACTCAAAACATGGGCCTGCCTGACGAGTAGTTTGCCATCACCTGGGTGCTGACTTGAAGTGCAGACTCTCAGGCCGCACCCCAGACAGAAAGCATCAGAATTTGCACTTTAATAAGATCCTCAGATGATTGTAGGTTAAACTGTGAAAAGCACTTGCTCTGTATGGTATGTGCACATTGTCAAATTCTTATAGGATTAGTACACTCTGAATGGGGTAAGTTAAGGCAATACATTTTTGAGCCACTATTCTTAGAAGTAGGCTGTTAAATGCTACATTGTTTTTATGGCCTTTATTTTTAGTAACATCTAATGATACAGTAGTTGAAGTAACTGATGGATTCTTTCTCCCTGTCTCTTTCTACTCAGTTGCATCACTTTTCTTGAAGACATTCCATTATTGTTTCATTGACCTCATTACTGAGTCCTTTGGAGTTGAGTTATGTCAACAGCTGCCTTAATTACTCTGGTTAGAAGTGTTGGGAACCAGGTGAGAAGGAGAATGCTGCTAAGCTCCCGCCTGCTGTGGGATGACAGGCGGGTGACGCCCACATGCTGCAGCTCCACTTCAGAGTTCAGGTGTTCTCGATTTGACACAGACGGTAGTGGGCATCCAGCCACCTGGGATAATTTTGGGATCTGGGATAACCGCATTGATGAGCCAATTCTGCTGCCGCCCAGCATTAAGTATGGCAAGCCAATTCCCAAAGTCAGCTTGGAAAACGTGGGCAGCGCCTCACAGATTGGCAAAAGAAAAGAAAATGAAGACCGGTTTAACTTTGCTCAGCTAACCGATGAGGTCCTTTATTTTGCCGTGTATGATGGACATAGCGGGCCAGCAGCTGCTGACTTCTGTCACATGCACATGGAGAAGTGCATCACGTACGTACAGTGACTTTCACTCTTGACTGCAGTTTGCCTTGTGCTTCATGTTTAAAATTTACCTTTTGGCTGAGATGTTCACTGTCAACATAGTTATTAAAGTGGTTTAATACTATTGTTTTTATAAAAAAGCGGTAGCTTAAGCATGCCTTTTATTACTGGTGATGATTACCATTTTAGAAATACGTGTTTGAGTACCTTACCTGGTGAGAACATTGACTAGAATCACGAGCATTTGATTTGTGATCATTTCAAGTGAATTAAAGTATATGATCTCATGTACCATGAGACTCTACGAGAAGCGTTTCTATCAGTGCATGGCACACAGTGCTTCAATAAGTGGTAATTAGGCTTCAGGAAATGGTATGAATAGCTTTGAATACTTGTTGAAAAGAGCTTTAGATGATTGGCATTAGTATGGGGAGATGTATTGAATGAGGTTTTGGAGCTTTTTAAATAGTGTATTTGTTGCAATAATTATTAATGTATTTTTGAGGATCATACGACTGCTAAAATTAAAAGGGAGAATATGTGACAGTTTGGGCCATATGACTATTTCTTGTCTTATTTATATTGATTTATTCATATTTTGCTTTATTCCACAAAGGAACTCAGTGGCTTAGTCTAATATGAAGGAACTCTTGACCTCTTGGGATTGTGGTAATAAGGATTAATCTCTTAAAGACAGAGACTTGAACTTTAATCTTAATGTCCTTAAAGGTTTATCTCTGTGTCTAATTCTTTCCCAATTTGATTCGTTAATCTGTGGATTTGAAGAATCTGTCAAGCAAGCCACGGAGGTCCATTGTATGAGATGCTTTGCTAGTTAGAGGGACCTACAGGAAGACGGGAAACCTATCATAAAAATGATTGTCTGGGGGCTCTTTTTTCCTCTCCACAAAGGAATTTGCTTGCTAAGGAGAAGAACTTGGAAACTGTGTTGACCTTGGCTTTTCTAGAAATAGATAAAGCCTTTGCAAGGCACGCCCACCTGTCTGCTGATGGTAAGTAAATAGTCATATTCCTTAAGGTCCTGGGGAATGTCTGGTAAAAAGGAAACAATTTAAGCACTTTAGGGGTAAGAACTTTTATGTCAGTTTATTTGTAAGGATGCTAATGTTGAAAATGATTTTTATGTAAAGAATCACTTTAAATGCTGTTTGGAATACAAACTAATGTTAGGACCTCAATTTCAAATGAAATACACTGGAGGATTTTTCAGAAATTAAAGCTTCAAAATGGTTCTTATATTGAATTTAAATTTTCAAAAAGATTTAACATTTAAAAAATTAGTTCAATTGCTCTTTTTATGGGCAAGAAGTCCATACCATAGAGAGTTTGTTGTTTTGTTTTTTTTAGATGAATCTGAAGAGCAACTACTGAAATTCACTCCAGGGTAATCTCATCTACCCAGACAGTAATTGGTCCTAAATGGCAAAGAACAATGTCAAATACGCACTGCTTTGCATAATTAGAAGGAAGGTATTTTTTTCTACCACTTGTTTAAAAAAGCTTGATTTTTTTTTGTTGCTTTTCTTTGTGGTAACTAGTGATACTTTGTTTTTCTTTGTTAAACACAAAGGCACGCCAGCTGAATTAAAATTTTCTGAACTTTCATGTCCTTAAATTTTGAAAGTAAAATGTTTCTGATTTTGACTGAACTTACCAAAGGCATTTCAGTAAAATATAGCTAATATTTTATAATTAGCTGGCCCCAGAGTCATTTCCCTATAAAGTTAATATCGACAACGTCTGCAGCAGGCATATATAAATGTATGCATATAGACCTCATAACTGATTTGAAAGTGAATTATGCAGTAATATTAATCTGTGTTTGGTTCATCCTTTTGTTTAAAGGACGTCAAAGTGCGCCACAGAAATGTCATTTTCACAGTTTCAGTTGGAGCGCATAGGGGTGAAACTTCTCCCCATTTCACTGATAAGGAACTGAAACTCAAGAGAGGTCAAGGTCAATTGAAGAGTTAAGGCTGGGAGTTTTCTGGCACGCACCTGGCCTCTCTCATGGGCATATGTAATGCTGAGAATTAGAGAAGGTGACTCAGAATGGCTCTATTTGCCATTTTAAGAAATTTTTCCTGCTCTTTTTTGAGAACCTTACCATATTGGTACTTCTCAGAAAAGTATTAGATCCACTGTCCGTGGATTTAATTTCTTCTCTGTAAATCATTCAGGCCCATTTTCTCTTCATTCTTCTGGACACTGTTTCTTGCAGCTGGCCTGTCATCTTATGCAAATAAGGATTGAGAGAGTAAATTTTAGACAGGAGATTTAGCTCTTGTTCCTAATGGGTGAAACATACAAAGAAGAGGACATTAAAACAGTTCCTAATAGTTTTTTTTTTTTGTAACTGTATATTGGTATGCTTTTATTTCATCCATAACCAGAGGGCTGTGTCACATGACGATGTTTGTTGGCCTTAGCGCAGGTAGTGAGTGCTAGCTGTTCTGTAAACAGCTTACTGGGCAAGTTTTGTTGAAGAGAACATTCAGGCTTGTCAGATTGTGGCTGGCAGTGAAAAACTGTCACGGGTACAGTCCAGAGGCTTAAACAGAGAGATATGGTGTAAAATATAAGAGGACTCCTTTTGTTTATTAAATAGATTATAGTAAAGGCCATTTGAACTTAGGGAGTGAATTTACTTAACTTGCCTACCTTAAAGGAAACTTTCTAAAGATGCCTTTTTATATAAGCAGACAGTTGTGCAAAGAAATTAGCCAGAGAAATATCCATTTCTAATAATGAAATGAATACATATTTATTTAACTTGGTTCCTTTGTCATATGCTTTGAGTTAATGACCTCAAAACTTGTATAAGATATTCTAAAATTTATTTTTCACTTAATGGCTTTTGGTTGCAAGTGTAATGGAGCATAACAAAATGATGCTTAGTGGGCTACTAAAAGAAAATGGGTCTATTACAACATTGTTCTTAAATCTTATTTTGTATGTATTTCTTATAGATCAGTTAGATTTTGTATATGCTTTTAAATGAGTATTTTGAGAACAACTTTAACATTTATTCTTAATAAGTGGCCAAGGCTTTCAAAGATAGCAAACATTGCTCTTTGATGCTTGTGGCACTATTTTACCAAATATATTAAAGCCAATAAAGATAGGCTACTGTATATTGTTTAACTTCATATTTAAAAAAATTTATAACATTTCACATTTCAAAGTTATTAGTTTAAATTCTTTTAGTAAGAATTAAAAACATTTGGTATATTTTCAGTAAGAACTGAAGCAGTATCATCATAAGAGTAGATAATATTCTTTTTGGCATACCTGTAGGTAGAACCAATACTAGTTAAATAAAATGGCGAAGTTCAGTGCAGTTTGTTCTCTCCAGTTTGTCACTTTTTCTTCCAGACCCCTTTTCCCACCTGGAACCCTTCCTGTGAACAGGATGAGAGTAGGGACTGTGGCTTATTTTTTGAATTTCCAGTGTTCAGCTGCATAGAATCTGGAAGGTACTCAATTACCTGAACCAAATTGATCTCCACTGCCTACACTTTCTTACCCAAGTTATTATGATTTTATTCCTTGGTTATCCTCCAGCTGACTTAACCAAATTATTAATATATGTGTTTTAATGAGTTATCACTCCTGGATAGATTTGAAGTTTAAGTAGGAGAAACCTGAAAGGAGATTGGTTAAGCCACAGGAATGATGAATCACTAATAGTGGAATTCCAGGTACAAATGGGAGGAGTGCCCTTCAATCATGTAATATTAGCTTTATTAAGAGAAATGGAAAATAATAAAGCAAAAGAGTCTCTTTTTAAGACTTCAGTGCAAAGCTGTCACATCTGCATAAAGTACTTCAAATTATCCCATTAGCATTTAAAATATTTACTGTTTCAGTTTATAGTGACTAATTTTAGGAGAAATAAAATCAGAATGCCACCTACCAAAGAGATAGTTAAGAATCATGCCCTTAAGAAGTTGCCTGGTATCTTTATTGATTTGTTGTTGATGTGTTTGGAATTTATCCTTATTTACAAATTGCTTATTTCATCATCTTTGAATATTTTTGTATTGTCATGTGTATTTTTATAGTTACTGAAACCAGCCAGTAAATTCAAATGATATCCCATTAGTCTATTGTTTATGAAAAACAACCAGATGGTAGAAAACTGAGAATTATATCCTATAAGCTCTAGATTGCTTAAGGTTTGAAAGCAACAAAGCTCCCCAAGAGACAAATGAATCAAAAAGAAAAGACTTGCTTTGATCCAGAGTGGAGATGTTAGTGGCAGCATTCTGAGTCTCATTGGAAACTTCCATGCTCTTCATTTTGCGTGATCTCGTTATTGGAGTAATTAAACTACAAACAAAAAAACAAATCAGTGTTAGAAATGCAATGCTTTTGAGGACCTTCTTATGCTGGGGAAAGCCAAAAGGAAAAAATAGGGATGGCATTAAGAGAGAGTCTTTTTGTGCTGTTACTGCTTCAGCTCATTACATTGATATGGTGTTCAGGATTCATTCATACATGTCTAGAACACCCATTTGAATAAATGCCAAAACTATATTGGTTTATACATATTATTGTTCACACTGTAAACAGTAATTACCAAGAGGGTTATACTTGGAAGTACAGCTTTTAGTCTTTATGTTGCCATTCAAAATCTTGATCATTTTTCTTTCAATGTATTGACCTGCAACACTGGGGAAAAGAGAGAGCTGCAGAAACACCCATTTTATGAATTACAAAAAAATTTAAACATGTATTAGAGCTCAAAAGCTTTACTAGCCATTATTTAAACAATTAATTTAAATTAATCGTTCTATTTAAAAAATGCCTTCTAGATACAAAATCCCTACATTGAACACCTTAACAAGTACATTACTCCTTATATCTAGTATAGGAGGTACTTTGATTCCTTCTTGATATGTATTTAAATCCCAGTAATTTGGTGGTATAGTGTAGTTCACATTCTCTCCAAATATGCACTGCTTGTCAGACACAGATTATTCAGTGCTCTCTCTGAAATTTTCCTTTTGTGGTTGGGACAGTTCAGATATTTCCAGCAAACAAATTTACAGTGTTTTTTCCAACTCAGTAGAGGTACTGATTACTCTTCAAGACTGTTTAAGTTAGAGTGTTTTTGTGTGTGTGTGTGTGTGTGAGTGTATAAATGTGTGTCTGTGTAACCACATAACTGTTTTGGCACACATGCCATTGTAGAGTTTTTCCTACCTCAGGAAGTCATAAGACTAAATGTTACTCTGATGAAAAAATAGACTTAACTACACAATACCATCAACTTGGGCAAACTGAGTTTTGGAATCATTGATTTGGCATCTCCTGGAATATTATGTAATTTGCTAGTGAAATTTTCACCAAAAAAGCCTTCCCCTTATTTTGCAGCTCTTTCTCTGTCCTCCCCTGTGTTGCAGGTTTGTAATGTTTGAGCACAATTCCTGGGTGAATTTCCTATTTGCCTCTGTGCGTGTTATTTGTGGCAGAGAACTGTGCCTGGTCAGCAGCTCTAGACCTGGAGCCCGTGGACACTATATGCTGGGCTTCAGTGGAAAGAGAGATCTGCTTAATTTTGTCCCAGGTGAAGGAGTCCAGCGGTTCCTAGCCTGGACTACTGGAAGGTTCCCACATCCTCTTTGTCCCATTAGTTGAGATGACTTGCAGTAGAAAATGTCCAGTGAGTGTTAAGAACTTATTGAAAGATGTCTTAGTTTTATAGTTTTATTATTAGGGCAAAAAGAATTTTTACTTCCATGTTAAATGTTAAATGAAAATAAATGTTGATTTAATATTTATATTCTTAGATGCTTAGCAAACCAGAATCAACAGTTAGTTTTGAACACTTTCCCATAAATCTTGAGATTTTGGAACCGTGAAGTTGGGTTGGTAAAAACTCAAGCTCTTTTAAATTCCTGGGCAGCAAAGCCATGAATTATAACCCTAAACTGCCAAACTTAACGTTTTCATTTATGAAATTTTAACTCTTGATGTAGCCAATTAAAAACTACTTTTAAAAAAGGTGCTGCTAGGAGGACCATAGCCAATGATTCTATAGTATCTTCCTATGTTGACAGTAACTACACTAGTGGCAGTGAAGATTTAATAATATGGGTAAATGTTGAACCACTGTGTTGTACATTTGAAACCAGTAAGAGATTATATTTCAACAATGATACTTCAAAAAAAAGAAAGAAGAAAAGAAAGTATTTTCCCTGGTGGGAGAAAAAAAGAAAAAGCTGCTGATAGTTTAAACAAAGGAGAGGAATACTAAATTCTCTGGACAGGGAGCATGGGAGAAAATGCCTGTGTTCTCTTGTCTGGTTCTTCCAGTCACTTGAAAGATGACAGTGTCTAAACTGTAGAGATTCCATCATATGGTTTGGGAAACTCAAAAAGTTGACATTTGCAACATAAATACCACTGGTCCACTAAAACATGTGTGTTTAACAATGACAAACTGTAGTATGTTTTAGCATTGCCAAGATATTATCACTTTGGCACAACAGTTCCAAAATCAAGAGATAAATGGGAAGATAATGCTACTATAAATGCTATTTCTCAACAAAGTAAATTCAGCATGGATATAAATAAGTAGGGTTTATTTGTGTTTTTCCATTTTACTTTTCTGATTAAAGCAGGCATTTTAATATACTAATTGGAAAATATATTTATATATGTATATATATATATATCTTTCCAAAATGCATTACTGATGAGGTTTTTAAAATATCTTTTTGAAAAAAAATTGGAGAGATTGAGCCTCAATCAGCCAAATCAATAGCAGTTCATCTTTCCCTAAATCTACCACTAGTCAGCCATCTTTGGATGATCACCTAAGTAGCTTATTTAGATAATTTAAAGAATTAACTATGTGATTGAAGACAATACCTGCTTTAAATAAGTTATCTTTTTCAATTTCTTCCAGTTTGCTTGACTTTTTTGCCCATAATTTCACAGTATTCTCACTTTTGGCAAGGCTCAATGCACCTTCAAAATTTTACATAAGTGGTAAAGAACTTAAGAGAAGATACTGTTAGAATATATCAAAGAAAGATACCAGAATGCAGTTTGGATTGGGTGGAGGAAATAGTGCAGACCTCAAGCCACCTAACATTTAATTTTCTGTGTTATTGGTCACAGAAAATTAATATTTTTGGACCCTCTGGGCCCAGAACATGATCACAGGCATAGCATATGACAGTACTGTCCTGCGTTCTGATAGAGTTACTTAGATGCTACTGAAGCTCGGAGAGTGAACGCCACCTGGCTTATGGGAAAATAGAATGAATTTCATTCCTGTCCCCCAGTTTCTTCTTACTACCATGATGGCTCTAACTTTGTTTCTTGTCTGGGAAGGACAACGATAAACAAAAAAGAATGTGAACCTTTAGCCACTTTAGGATTTGGGGGGAACATTTGTAAAGTTAAAACAGTTAAAGGAGGAAAGCATATCAAATGTAGCACCTGAAGAGCAAATGGTATGCTGTTGGCTTATCTTGTTTAACCTATTAACTGATAATACTTCCACAGGATAGTAAGGAAGGGAAGACAAAATCTCTGAGTGAATAGATGATGGAGAATTCAGCTTGCCTGAACGGGCTCAGGAGACTTAAGAAGTCATCCTGCCATATTAGCCAATCTAATTAAAGTGTCATAATTATGACACCTGATGTATGCAAAAGGTGTTGTAACTCTTATAAGTTCAAGCCCACTCTACTTTATATAAGTAGAGGCCATTTGGAGATAGTGATGCATTTTTTTTAACCACATTATGTTAGCAACTCTTTCTGTTTGCATGGAGCCTTGTTACTGAATTAAATACTTCTTTCTCTGCATGCTCTTTCTTATATAGTTCATTGCATTTTATTTGCATAGCTCTAGTTAAGTTAGAATGATGTATTTTAGCATTAGTTTAAGATGCCTGTATTTTATTTTGTAATAAAAATTCTGGGTCCAATCATTTGACTGTCACTGACATGTATTCTTTTTTCATAATGTTTGCAGCAACCCTTCTGACCTCTGGGACTACTGCAACAGTAGCCCTATTGAGAGATGGCATTGAACTGGTTGTAGCCAGTGTCGGGGATAGCCGAGCTATTTTGTGTAGAAAAGGAAAACCCATAAAGCTGACCATTGACCATACTCCAGAAAGAAAAGATGAAAAAGAAAGGTACCTCCACTGATTGATCATTCTGTGAGGATGATGCTTATATACTTCAAGATAGAAATGAAATCCTGCATCTTAAATGGATTTCATGCTTATTTCTAACTGGCCTTGGTTTTCTGGGTATCACATCTTTGTCTTTTAACTTTTTCATGGCCAGGATCAAGAAATGTGGTGGTTTCATAGCTTGGAATAGTTTGGGACAGCCTCATGTGAATGGCAGACTTGCCATGACAAGGAGTCTTGGAGATTTGGAACTTAAAACCAGCGGTGTGATAGCAGAACCTGAAACAAAGAGGATTAGGGTAAGAAAGGACTTGCAGATATACTTGCAAGGAATGAATGCAAGATTGTCTTCAGCTACAGGCTTTCTCTGAGGCATTAATTGAAACCCAAATGACTTATAAAGGGAGTAACTTACAGAATGATAGATAAATTTTTCAGATAAAATAAGACGCCACTCTCTGGGCCTAATGTCTGATGGAGTGCTTGGTTTGGCTTCATCTGTTGTAGAATTTGCTCAGTTGAATGGCTCTGTTGCCCTTGCTCACCTGTCCCTAATCATTACAATGCCTGCATGTGGAAGCAGACCCTGACTTCCTTTTCCTCCAAGCTAGGTAATCGCCCCACCTCTATTTGGGTGACATCTCTTGCATGTCACTTATCAATGCCCCATTACCTTACAGTTCCCCAACACACACCCAGTTGTGAGTCAACACTTCCTCTCTGTAACCCCCAGTCTACTCTAGTACCTGGCACAGTATATTGTAGGTTCCCAGTAATAGCATATGATTGTTAATTAACCGACTGGTTTCATGTCTTACAGACGTCCACTTGTATTCATTTTGTCATTTTACTATATGCCAGGCTCTGTTTAAAATAGCTACTGCCCCCATTTTACAGAGAAAATAAATCTAGAACATATAGAGGTCAACCTACCTATGTTTACTTTGGCAAAAATGAGGCAGGTTTTAAACCTAGGGAGCCTGGCTCCAGATGACAGTGCTGGCAACCATCCCGTCACGCTGCCTCCCAGCATTTGGCTGTCTGGCTTCTTGCTTTGTGGTGTTACTAAGTAATTGTTAGGTTTGTCCTCAGTGGTAGATGCTAAATGTTGCTACTTTTGCCTTAAATACAGGCCTTCCATTTGAACTCTATTTGCCTGTAAGCTCTTATACACAGATGACCGCTCAGCAAACACAGTTTTTAAATTAAGATCACTCTAAGGCCAAGTCTGGTTTATAATCCTGTGCGTTTGGTTCTAACTTCAGATACATCATGCTGATGACAGCTTCCTGGTCCTCACTACAGATGGAATTAACTTCATGGTGAATAGTCAGGAGATTTGTGATTTTGTCCATCAGTGCCATGATCCCAGTGAAGCAGCCAATGCAGTGACTGAACAGGTGACACAGCAGAGCTTCTGCTAGGGAGTCCCAAGGGTGGGGGGCCGAGAAAGGGCAAAGGCAGATGTGGGTCTCCGTGCAGCTTGCAGGGGCCACCACAGGCTTGAGTGTTCTTCAAAATCTTTGTTCTGGCATCAGTGTTACAGTGAATTTCACACTTGACTCCACAACACTTCTGATTAAAAAACTTTTTACAGTTCTCCTAAGTAGTTAAGTAAAATTTGTTTACCAAGGAAATGTGCTGTATTTATTTTTTATTTTTGTACACATCTTGAAATGATAGGAACAAGCAATAGTAAATTATAATAATAGCAATGATCCCTATCACTTACTTTGTGTCACTCTTCTGCTTATATGTATGTAACTCATGTAATCATCACAGTAACCCTCAGAGGTTAGAACTAGTATTATCCCTTTTACACAGATGAGGAAAGCTGAGGCACATAGGCTTAGGAGTAACTTATTTAAGATCACAACACTATTAAGTTATAGAATTGGGTTTCCAAGTCCAACCACTGGACATTAAATTAGACTGCTCCAAGTAAATATCCTATATGGGAACACTATAGCATAGTCAACTTCTGGTTTTTAAAAATGGGTATGTGGAAAAAACAAATGCAAAAAGTGTATGGGTGGGTTGTGTGTCAATGTGTCAGCCTGAGGCTAAACTTTGGAAGCTGGATAACACCCAGTAAAGAAAATGTAACATTTCCATTGTTGGTTAATTTTCTGTTTGGGTAGATTAATTTTTTAAGCTATAGCTATCACTCATTATTAGAGGTGTGCTTTATTTTAAATTCAACACCTATTTTTACATTTCCTAATTGTACAATTAGGGAGCCAAATTGGGCCCAAACTTTTTAAGGGCTAATATTTGTAATTCAGATATAAGATCATACTTAAAAAGCATTATTTGCTTGAAAATAGATGGGTAAGCATGAATTATTCCTTGGGTTACTGTGTGTGTTCATGAGATTAAGAAAATGGGCCCAGTTCTATGAATGATCACTTGTTTTCTAATTTCAACTACCTTCTTGAGATATGTGTGTTCTAATTCATGAGGGCAGCATTTGTAATGACTGCATAGTATTCGACTCTAGGTACTATAATTCATTTAACATTTCCCCTAATAAGCAAATTCAGTTTTTTGTTCACTTTTCCATATTACAGGGGGAACCTGTAATAAATGTTTTTTAAATCTATGTATGCATATCTGTATCCTTCAGATTTTATTTTCTTAGATTAAACTTTTAGAAGTAAAATGGCTAGGTAAAATAATTCACAGTGTTCTAGAGCTTTTGTAAGTTTGCCAAACTGCCCTCCAGAAATACTATTCCAATTTACATTTTTCACTAGCATGTTTTGTAGTTTGTGTTTCCCCAAATTCTTATCATAGGTAATTTTTTGCCAATTTGATGCACAGAAAAATCAAATTTTAGTGTTTCAGATTTGCATCTTTTTTCTTTGTTAGTGTAGCTAAACATTTGCACAGGTTTATTAACCACTTGTATTTCTTACCTGTGTACAGCTTGCCTTTCCCATTATCATAGTGTATTTGTCTTTTTCATAGTTATTGTAAGAAATTTCTATATATTAAGTATGTGAGTACTTCATCTGATATTGCAAATTTAAAAGAACTGGTCTTTCAATTTGTAAAATTTTATTTTTTGAAGCTTTTATATCAGATATTTTTTGTATTTTAACCCTTCTTTTCACCACAGTTTTGGCCTTACGCTGTAATGCCTTTTGAAATACATTTGCTGTTAAATATCATCCCAGGCACTCTTACAATGCTAACTATATCATTTGCTGTTTGAGTTAGTTCTTAAAATTGTTTTACAATTTGCCTACTGTGGGAAATTAGTTTATACCACATTTTTCCATTTTGTAGGGAACATAATAAACTTTCTTCTAGTTCTATCATTATACACACCCATTTCCTTATGTTATTATTCTTCAAGCTAAATTCTTAGAAGCAGAATTGTTGGTAAAAGCTAACACTGAATTATTGCCTTGTATTAATCTCTATGCTAAATGCTTTACTTGTGTTTTGTTCTTCAAGAGCTGTGTATTTTGTACCTTAGTTCACTGGTGTTTTATTGGCAAAAGTGCTTCAGTTGGGATATAGGCAGTATGGTCGTTTTGGGTCATTTGTTAGTCTGTGTACCATGTAATAAACTATGTGGCATTGATACACAATGAAAGAATCACAAACAACTGTGAAATAATTGGGTTATTAATTGTGTGTTAAACCACTTTGATCTTCTAGAGGAAGGATGATTTCTCTTTGTACAGACTCCTATTGCCAGTGTTTTTTTTTCCTTCCTTCCTTCCAAACCCGTAGGCCATACAGTATGGTACTGAAGATAACAGTACTGCCGTAGTGGTGCCTTTTGGTGCTTGGGGAAAATACAAGAACTCTGAAATCAACTTCTCGTTCAGCAGAAGCTTTGCCTCCAGTGGACGATGGGCCTGATCACATGGTGGGCTGGGACTTTGAATTTCTGTGTAACAGTTTTTCACTGAGTATGTCAAAAATCAATTAGAGCAAACAAGTCAACTGTGCCAGAGTGATCCTGTGACTCACTAGGTCAGTGCATAAGTCAGTGTAAGCTTAGTAACCATTTACACAGTAGCTTTTCATAAATACCTGTCATTTATGTTCAACTGTACCACTCAGCATAAATATATGTTGTAATTCGGTTATTGTGTCTCCAACTTTATGTACTCAGTATAAAAATATATTATAATTTGGTTATTGGGTCTCTAAGTTGGGTGAAAAGTAGCTTTGATACACTCGCTGAGTGTTAAATTTATAATTTTTAACTCATAGGCAACTATGAGTTTCTCTTGGTCCTTTTGTCCTTTATTCATTTGAATAGGTTTTTGTATTCAGGTTTTTCAAAACTGGTCAGTATTTGACAGCTACTCAATGTATTATCTGCAAGTGATTTTTTAAAAATAACTATACCAAGGAATAGTCTGAAAACTGAGTTCTCTTACTGTATTTTGTATTCTGGGCTACTTACTGGTAAATGTAACAATGCAAAAGAAATTAATTCATAAGATATGACACTGCTGAATTGTACACATATTTACAACAGTGCATTTGTGTATTTTAGCTGTGTCACCAGATCTCCCACCTCACCCCTTGCCTCATTCCTATTTTTCTGTAGCTAAGAAATGCTATAAAGATTCGACTCTTCTTCATATCAGTAAAGAATGCACAGGCTGAATCCTTTGGTCAGGGCTATATAAAGTTAAATACTGATGGTATCAAGTATTTTGTATAAAGTTTCCATTTGTTATCTCTAACTCTGTTTCGTGTTTTGTATATAGTATGTTTATATCACTTTTTGTATAGAATAAGCAAGCTGGATAATTTGTCAGTAAAAATAATGTCATTGATAGCATAGTTTGATATCTATGTCTTTTTGCTTATTTCTAAGACTCACAAGAAAAAATATGCAAATTGAAAACATTGAAACACTCTATATTTCATCCTGCTATGTAATGTAGGAGTATAAAACCATATTTCCTTACATCTGCATGTCAGTTTACTGTTAAAATGTGAATCTCTAAATGTATGTTGGAAATTATATGTATAGTTCATTAATGCAGACAGTGTAAATTTGTTGTATGTGTGGTGTATGTATGTATATATATTTTAGAGTAACAGAAAATTAAAGGGAACAATCATGTATAGCTCCTTCACCAGTTAGCTTTAAATTATTTATGTGTATCCCTGAGGACTCTTGACCAAAACTAAAGGCAGTTTTATAGTGGAGAATCAATGGTTATTGCCAGATGAGGAAATAGATTTTTAAAAATGGCTATAGGAAAGTATTTTTAGTGGGTAACTACTGTGGAAAACTGAAGAACAACCAGCATATTAAAGCTACATTGCTGTATGGTAATTTGCATATAAAGTAATAGGATGTGAGAAAAATACTGAGTGTTAAGAATGACATGGAGTTTTGTTGTAGAAACAAAAGAAAAAGGAACCAAAAAGCTAAAGTTGTTATATGCTTTATGCTCTCTGTTTTCAGGGTTGACTTTTTTTTCCTTCAAGTTATATTTAAAGGCTATTAAAAGGAAGCGTACCCATTATAAATATGCACATCTTCTTCTCACCATTTTGGGAATGGAAGAAAATAAATCTTGAGTTTTCCTGTCTATATTAATCAGGAATTGTCCTTTGAAAAAAAACAGTAAGGAAATAGTTCAATTTTACTTTTTCAAAGAAGTTTGGTGAAAGAAAGAAGAACATTACTGGAAAGAATATAGTGTATTCATTGTCTGAGAAATGAGAGCTAAAGGTAGACAAAGAAAGCTAGAAAACTTTCTTGCTCTTTCTGAGTCAGGTCCTGGAACATGAATATAGAAGCTACATTTGGGGATATGGAGAATTTCCAAACTAACAAGCAAACAAAAACTCTAAAGCCCAAAATCACATTCTAGGGATATAGGTTGCATTTTTGTTTTGAGTTCTTCACATTGCTATTGCTCTTTTTTACTTTTAAAAGTAAGCGTGGGAATGTTGTCAAGTTCAAAGGTCTAAGAGTCACTAAAGCATTTAGGTGGATTACCAGGTCTGACAGAGGGATATGTAGGGCACATAGGCTGTGGTCTGGGTAGCTTCTCTCTGCTTTATGAGAAAAACTTAAAATCCAAAACCAGCCAACTTTGACAAAAGTATAAAAACACACTGGTGTTCATTTTTCAAGCCCCACAGTGTTAAAGTATAATCTATAAAAGATAAGCACACATCTATTAGGCTTCTAAGTCTACTACTGCGAATTATGCAAATAGTAAAAAAAGGGCTGTTCTACATATAATTGTTATAACTGTGAATTTGCCATGTGGTTATTACCATGTGGGTATAAATATGGTGTAAATTATATTAATCTAATTAAACTTAAATCAATTGTATTTATGTTTGCCTTTGAGTTACATATAGTATATAAATCATCTTTCTGAAATGTGTTGCCAAACTTTATTTGCAATGATTTTTTTCACAAATATAAGGTATTATATGCTGAAAAGTAAATGCAGTCCTGTTGTCCTGTTGTCCATCAACCATTCATTACAGATCTTTCTATTTCTGTGCTTCAAAGTCTTTCTGGGGAAAACAAAAGTTTTGGGGAATCATTTGAATCTGTATGATGTGAACTCTTCCTAAGTTAACAACATTTAAAAAATATGGTGAAGAATTTCTAGCACATAATCTAAATAGAAACTTTTTTCAAAGTGGAATTTGATTTTTGAAATAATCTTGGCAGAAAATCTTCAGTATCAGATAGGATATTTAGTTTCCTTTCTAAGAATGGACAAGGATTTAATTTCATGGTAATTCGATAGTAAGAAAATGTTTCAAGGCAGGGTTGGGGAAAGGGATGGTTCACGTTTAGCATCAGTTAAATGTGTATCTGTATTTTCCTTTAGTGCCTCAATTGTTCACATACCTATGTCTGTGGAAAGTGACACAAAATTTTGGTTGGGTTACCTTTTTTTTTTTTATTTATTAGATTTACTTATCTGGATGACTTATGCAGAAATAAAAAAGTCATGTCCTTACAAGCCAGATTAAGACCTGCCTGTTGCTTCTGGCATGTGGAATGAGACCTACTGATTCTGGCAGCAACTATTGATTTGTTAGGTGGTTGAAATGGTCCATTGATAGTCATATTGAGTGTTTCAGGCTGTGAAATCATGGAGTTCTTCCATTTCTAAGAACCACTTATCTGTCATTGGATTCCAGTACAGAATCTAGCACTTGTTATGTTCCAAATTTAATTTCTACTGAAAAATTTAATTTGTACATGTGTTTTATAATTTACCAAAGAACTACTTGGCCATACTTTGTCCTTTTTCCTATAGGGATTTGATGTAATTGCTGCTTTGACCATTGTTTTAATGTATGTGTTAGAGTAACTGAACTGACTACCACACATCTGAAGTGTTCAAAACACCATTTTAATAAAGTACATTGTTTGCTTTTTGGCTGAAACAGTAAGGCCTTTATCATTTTACACTCCAAAGCAAGGTGAGGCGGGCAGTTCCTGGGGTGGGGGCATGGAGGGTGGCAGAATACATTGGGAGCATCATAGGGAAGGCTAGTCTTCTCTGCAAGTCACCAGCACTCAGATAAGGCCTTTAGGACAAAACGGGCAGATACATTCCCTAATTGCTAAGCAACAAGGTTCCCCTAGAGGCTCACGCTGCTCATAGTTTCTGGGAAAGGAGTTCCCACATACCCAAGGCGCTCATAGGATCTTTAGTAGGAACTGTTCAATAAGGCCAGATCCCTGGGCACATTTGCTGCATTTAAGAAGCTTTTGCCCCCGTGTGAACTCTCTGGTGTTGAATGAAACGAAATGTGAATGCACGTTCCCTTCATATATAATGCCTTAGCCAGTGTGGACTCTGGATGTTGAAAGGAGTTAATTAAGCCTCGGAGTAAAGGCTTTCCCACAGTCACTGCATTCCTAAGGCCTTTCTCCAGGGCGGACCCTGGTGGTGAACGAGATGCACTGGCGTTGGCCCGTGGGGCGGAAGAGGCGACGGCTGCTGCCGGGGATTCGTGGTCTCTGCCTCCCCGCCCTGTACTCCCTGACAAGGCGGGCGAGGGTTCCCCGAGGCGTCGGAGTTGGGCGGGCCCAGCCGCGAACAGCGGCGAGGGCGGCGGGCACGGCCCCCGAGGCACCGCAGCTCAAGGTGGCCGCGGCCCGGCATCCCCACTTCCGCCCGCGCTCGGGCTCCCCCGTGTGGCGGCCGCCCCTCCGGAAGGCAACTCCGCGGCGCCGGAGAACATTTCCATTCGCTCCCTAGGCGGCTGCCGCACCGCTGGTTGCCTTTCTCTTTTCTTGTTTCCTCCTTCCTCCCCTCCTTCTCCCCGGCGGTTACAGACTAACGCGCCTCAGACCCCAAAACTAAAGTTGAGAGAAGCTCCCGCTGGAGCAGCTCCATGGCCCCGCCGGCCGCGGGCTCTTCCTCCCTCCGCGCGCCCCTGGCGGCTCGGGGAGCAGGCCTCTACCTCCGGGCCCACCGGTCGGCGGATACAGACTGTCCTTGCGGAGAGGACGGGACTGTCGGCAAGGGAGGGAGGTGCCCGGAGCGGATGGCAGATGCTGGAGAGGACAGCTGTCGTTTGGCAGTGCTCCCGGCCCTGAAGGGGAATTGGTCCTTCAGTCCTGAAGGTGGGTTCTGGGTGGCACAGCACAGCTTCCACCAAGTGTTAACTCCACTTCGCTGATAAGACGGAAAAGATGGAGCGATTTGTCTCACGTCCCAAAGGGGTTTCTGTCGTGTCATCTCAAACCCCCATCCCCAGGAACTATACTCTGTCCGTAGCTCCTGCTTACATGACTGGCCGGGTAGCCAGGTTTGCTGTGTCTAGTGATACTGCGGTTTGGACATGATCCCGAACAGGCCCAGTCCTTAGCTAGTCATCAAGCAACCGGAGTCTCTCTTTAAAATCCGAATTTAGGGACTGTCGGGCTCTCTTAACTGTATAATGGGAGGAGCTAGAATGGTGAGATCATGTAAAACTGGCATGGCCATTTCTAAATAATGTGCACACTTTTGAGTATGTCAAAAGGAGATTTCCCCTGAGAGCCACAGAGGAGTGGATGGAAGAGGGAGGAGCTTCCTCCACCCCAGGGTCTCAATTCTAACCCACGGCTAGTTTAAGAGGAATTCTATCCAGAGTAAAACTCATGCAGATAACAAAATGCAAAAAACAACTACCTGAGGATGCTGGCTAAGGGTTCAAATCCAGCCCTATTTTATCCCAAAGTCAATTTTACGCTGCAGAAGTCAGCTAAGGTTAACAAGTACTTATACATTAATCATTAGATGGAAAAAAATTCCCTAAGGAACCTAAGAACACTGCAACTATCCACTGAAAAATAGGAAGGACAGAATAACTGGAAGACGTGTCAGGGGAAGAAGGGGAGGACATAGTGAAAGCACACCAAGACAAGACCGAGACCAAAGTTAACCAGACTTAGAGCACATTCCCGGCTCCTTATTAGGCCCCTACTTCCCCAACTCTCATTTACTGCATTCTGCCATCTGACTCCACCACACCTATGAAACATCCATTTCGAAGGTCCACAATTACTTCCTATTGGATTCTTTTTAGTTTTTATCTTATTTGCTCTCTCTTCAGCATTCAGCCTTCTTGGCTACTCCCCTCTCATTGAAATAGTCTCCTCTCTTAGCTTTCCTGTCACTTTTCTGGTTTTACTTCTAAATACCCACCCAGCTGCTTCTCAGTCTCCTGACCTTTGTTGGTATTCTTCAGCTCTGCCATCAACCCTCTTCCCAGTGTGTACTCTCCTTGTACAAGCCAATACATTCTTACAACTGCACCTATCACTGTGTACAGATGACTTCTGACTATACTCCCAGTCCAAGATTTCTCTCTTAAACTGAAGACTGAAATGTCCAGACATGGACTGGGAATGTCGGCTTGGAAGTCCTGTGGGCATATCAACTTCAACATATCCAGAATGGAATTCTCACTTAAATCTTTTCCTTCTAATTTGCCTATCTTAATGAAGGCAGTGCTTCTCACTCAGATCCCTTTCCTCCACATCTGTAATTTGTTTTTTCTCTGCTCCATCCTCACTGTCATTTCCTTAAAGCCATCAGACACTGTGGCTTCTCAGCTAATTTCTCTGCCCTTGAGGGTCACCCTTTTTCATTCTTCACATGCTGATCACTGCACATTCATGTTTTGCAGTTTTCATTCTCACCTCCTACTTAAGTTAAAACTCTTTAGCATAGCATAAAAAAACATTTCTTCGTGGTCACTTGCCTGCCACTACTCCAGTGCAATCTCTTCCATTCCATCTTCCTTGTTAAGCCTTGTCCTAATCTGTGTACATTTCTCTCTCCCTGTAATACATCTCCCCACTTTTTTCCCTGGTGAGCTTCGAAACTTAGATGTTATTTCCTCTGGGACATTTGTTCCAAGATTCGTCTAGTCTGAGTTAAATTTCCCTTCTATTTATTCCCATGACATCCAATTCAGCCTTCTATCCTAACACTTATTACCCTATATTATAACTCTTTGTTTCATCCCCTTTCTTCACCTTTACTCTGTGAATTCCTTGAGGGCAGGGACTATGTCTTTTTCCTACAAAATTCTAACTATTAGCACAGGGTCTGGCACATGGTAGGCATTCAAAAAAGTTTGGAATGCATGAATGAATGACATAGTTAAAATAGAGAAGAGTTATGTCATTCCTCAGTCTTATTTGAAAACTTGAGAGTACACTCTTCCAAAATGATGAATCATGGAAAGAATAAACATTACTGTGTTCCTAAGAGGAATAAGCTCTCAGATTTCTTCAGTTACAACCAAATTGGGTAGGTGGGCCAAGAATCATTGTTTCACAATTTTGTTCGGTTGGTCCTAGCAAGTTATGCTGGTACAGCTGAGAAAAAAATATGCCAGTGGTGCTTCAAGTAAGAAACAATGATGCTGTAAGATGATACAAATCCAAGAGTCTTCCTAGGTCTTGCCAAGAACATCTTCATACTGTGAAAGTTCCCTGATGCTCTAGACCTCCACTTAAGGATCGAAGAAATGGGAGAGGCATGTCTAATGTCAAAACCAAAAGCCAAGTTAATTAGAGAGAATTCCTGCCCCAAAGTTCCTATTGGGAAGCTCAGGGAAGAATCAGGTTTAATATAACCCTCTGTATTTGTGAAAATTTTACATAATTGAAGCCATTTAAAATAGAACTGGAGTAGTCATTACAGAGAAATTGCCTTCCTCACCTTTGTTTTGACTGAGCAAAAAGGCAATTTTTTAAGCAAGCCAACAGGGAACAGATAGCTTGATCGTAGGACTGAGAATTGTCGACTTTCTGAGGATAAAATCAGCAGCAATCAGTGTATATCCCAGAGTGGCTTAACTTGTTAACATCCATAGAAAAGCACTTTTTTTTCTTCCATTCAACTCATGCAATAGCCCTGTTCCTTTTCCTACCCTTGCTTTCACCCTACGGTAGGAACACTATTTGGGTATCTATCTGAATCTGTGCTCCCCATGTTGCAATTCTTTAATCCCAAATGAATGCTCGTTTGTTTGTTGGAATCGCCTGGAAATGAATCCCTTGTGCTCAAACCACACCTGTGACTTCTGATTCCTCATTGTGAGTCCTCTCAGGCTCCTGACCTCTCGCCTTTTGGAGGAGGTCTTTGCCACATTGTTTGTATTCTGGGGGCAAAGCTCCACCTGGGGGTGATCACCCAGGAAACAACTGTCTCAGCTGGTTTCACAGCCACTGCTGTCTGGTAAAATCTATATTTGTTGAGTACCTAGATTTATCTGGAGAGGCTCACCTCATCAGAGGTCCCCGTTTCATGTTTTTCTTTAACATGGGGCTTTCAGCTTCTAAAAATTCCTGGGAAATTTTACCCTAGGGAACTCCAGCTGAGTTTATGTTCAGAAGTTACCATGCCTCTTCCTGTAAATTTTTATATTAATTAACTGAAATTACTAAAGATGATTTAAAAATATAGTGGCCACTTTGGGGTCCCTTTGAGCTTCCAAAACTTGTCTTTTTGTGCACTACACTTGAAAAACTATGGATTTTAGTGAGAGCTTTAATTTTTCTAAAAAGTTAACACTACCTTCTGGCACACTTGCTAAAAGAACTATGGTTGCAGCAATTCCACTTCTGGGTATTTACCTGAAGAAAACAAAATGATTTAAAAGGTATATACTGTGTTTATTGTAGCAGTATTTACAATAGGCAAGATATAGAAGCAACCAAAGTGTCCATAAATAGATGAATGGATAAAGATGAGGTGGTACATTTATATAATGGAATTTTACTCAGCCATAAAAATGAAGTCTTGCCATTTGTGACAACATGGATAGATCTAGAGGGTATTATGCTAAGAGAAATAAATCAGACAAAGTATATGACAAATACAATATGACTTCACTTACATATGTGATCTAAAAATAAAACAAATGAACAAACAAAACAGAAATAGACTCATAAATACAGAGAACAGCCTGGGGGTTGTCATAGGGGAGAGCTGGAGGGATGAGTGAAATAGGTAAAGGGGAAAAAAATTAGAGTGTTCGATGTCTTGATCTGGGTGATGGTTACAAGAGCCTTTACATGTCAACGTTTATTGAGCTGTGCACTAAGATTTATGAATTTTATTGTTCATACCTCAATAAAAATAAAACAGAAACAAACAAAAAATAGAAACTATAGTCCTGGAAAGCTGTAATTATCTACAAAATGAAAGTTTCATTAATTCATTTTATGTTCTAAGCACTTGGCTTAGTAATCATCAGGTTGAGGATCCTATAATCAAGACAGAAAGGTGGGTTTCACCCCATTTGCAGTCAGATATAGCTGGACAGAAATGTGAGTTAAACTCTATTTGAGGCTAGGGTCCTACCAAATTGCTGTCAGCCTTTAGGGGAACTATGACTTAGGATAACTATTGCCATTGTGAAGAATGTTTAGATAAAATCATTTAAGAAGTGCACTTAAAAGCAAAGTCTTCAAAATTCCAGCTTCATTAAAAATTTTGCTACAAAAAGTTAATGAGAAATTAGGTTTTTCTAAAAAAAAAAAGAAAAGACTGAACCCACAAAATCCACTAAATTATTGACCTTACAGATATCCCCATATCTACCTTCAAAGGAGAGCCCACAATTGATCCCTACCAGAGTTAATAAGATTCTGAAAAATTTCTTGATAAACTTCTATTCATTTAAAAACTCCAAAAAGAACCTAAAATTAAAAATTAATGGGTTGTTCATTACTACCAGAAATATTTACTGTTTGTCCCAGCTGAACCCAACAAGATACTTAGAAAAATTTAATAATGCCATGACAAAATATTTGGCCAAATTGAAAGCCAAATATTGAGCCTCCCGTATGTATACATCAGAGGCATGTCTCTGTGCCTTTGAAACAAAAAATGTTAACTCCTGCCTAGATAATTTCTTTAAAGTACAAACTTCAGGAAAGTAATTCTTACCAAAGGGAGATTGAAAAGCAGGAAAGGTCATTTGAAATTTAGGAAAAAACTTTAAATTGTCTTCTAAACTCTGCCTTTGCCTGTGTGTGTGGTCACAGATATGTGATTGCTAAAATTTTATTGAGTTCTATTTAATTGGTTAAAGGCAAGTGCCTATAAGGATTGGGCATTC